ACTTCGTTCGATTTTATCGATGTCTGAAGTTGGAAGTTTAAAGAATTCAGATTTAGCAAGTCTGAAAAGTAAATCCCGACACACCAAGCCAACACCATCCATTATTCCTTCTCCTGTTCTTAGTCTGTGCCTACCGGTATGACTTCATTGCGCGCAATTCAACGAGAGACACATAAGGGCGTGTAGAATGTGGATTTGTTTATCATGTGCGACGTTATGAAACGATAGTCATCGAACGCTTTGGAGTGTAGGGACTCGGCCTAGCTCAGCGGTCCTAAAGCCCGCTGCTTTCGAAGTTTGAGGATCTTGAGTCAAGATTCTCCCTCTGTTTGGCCGTCAAGTATCGTCGCGACCAAACATAGGTTTACGTAGTCAGGACCGAGCTCGCCGCCCGTCGTCCATGCCTTGGCATAGGGTGATCAGGCGGCAATCATCGGCGGCTTGGTGCACGGCGGCGGGGGGTATACTGTGATGTACTGCCCTGAGCTACAAACTCAGACTAGCGTCCTGCATCACTGTACATACCCGCGCTTGTGCACTATCCTAACACTACATAGTCTTAACTACCTATGTGTCGGCTGAAGTGAGTCGGAGCATGTTGGTGTGAGTGGAGATTTCGCAAGCAAACCTCAATGGAGCAATATGATTGGCTCGGAAAGTAGTCAGATGTCTGCGGTCTTTGAGGCCAAAAGTGTGATGACTTCCTCACTTTTCAGACCTGTTTCCGAGCAAAGTCTGCAAGCTTCGAAATTCGAATCGATCGAAATTCGAATCGAAGTTTTAAGTCTGGAAAGTCAAGATTTCGCACTTGTTATTCACTTAGAGAAGTACTTCGGAGTATAAATTATTACAAGAACACTCACGACGATTTGTTTTTTACAAGTTCAGTTCAGACACGGGTTCGCTAAAAGCCGCTAGGTCAGAGTCAACAACCCCCTTACGTTCCCAGCACTTCACAACGGTCAACTTAGAAACATAGCGCCAAGCATCTCGAGCCCACCACATGCTACATCAAACGGAACTTCGTAGAGTCTGTCTGAACACCATGTCGATCTGCTCCAAGGCATTCTGGAGCTGCCGCTGCTTCAGGTGTGCCTTGAATGATGCAATGATTCCCGCATATTGCGGCTGCAGGTTCGCAGTTGTGTTCTTTGGCAGCATTTTGACATTCACGCTGGACAGCGCAGTGTCTTCGTCCAGTTTATGAAATGGTGCATTGTCGACAAGCATGAGGACCTTCCGGTCCTCCTCCACCATGCTCTTGTTCAGCTATTCCAGGTACGAATTGAAGATTTCGCTGTTCATCCATGCCTTCTTACTGGCATGGTAGTCAAATCCAAGCCACTCTCCACTCCGACCGCCAAAGCAACGAGGGTGGTTTGCAGCCCCGATGAACAGCGGATTAACGGTATCCGTGCCTGTCGCGTTTGTCGTAAGAGCCATTGTGATGCGCTATTTTGACTTCTTTGTGCCAGGCACTCGGTTGTGTGTGATGGAGCGATGTGGAGCGAAGCAGTAGAAGAACGATGTCTCGTCCATGTTGTATATGTCATGGGGATTGTAATGATTTGTTTCTTGTAATATCTGTGGCGGCCCACACAAACAGCCTCAACCGGCGTGGAAGCGGCTTCGCCACGTTGGATTTTGCTCTTGAGTCCATGCTTTCGTTGAAATTTTTGCAGCCAACCCTTCGAGTAGGATATTTGACGCGATGCCGATACACCCAGTTGTTGTGAGATTGTCATTGCTTCTTTCCGGATGAGTTCCCCGGTGATGCAGACGCCCAGTTCTTCGCAGCGGAGAACCCACGCCAGCGTTTGCATTCGACGATCGCATGTTCGTGCTTTGCTGTGGGCTCGTTGACTTTGAGTTTCGTTCCGCTTCATGGCCTTAGAGATGATCGATTTTGTCGGAACTGAGTCTACACCTTTTCCCGATCAAAGTGGCACCTTAGAGCATCCTCACCGGCTGGTGTAAACAAAGAACTGTAAAATCCAGTTTATGGGGTGATAGCTGTAAAATTAGTACATCAGCTCACAACCATTCCACACCGTTTGGCCAAATGTAAAAATATATTGGTGCAATTTGGTAGTTTGTTCACAATGATGATGTCGCCAGTGGTCATCAAGGGTCGTTTTGTGGGGGTACCAACTTCAAAGAAGCCGAGGATGTCGCTCTCGCGCGTGCGTACGTTCAAGAGTCGACCGTCGCAGCAATCGAGACAGACCAATCTGGCGATACATTCTGGTGCAAGGTTGGCGACGCTTACAACGCAATCAAACCCGACGGCTCGCTGAATCGCTCGGTGTCGTCGTTGACCAGCTGATTCAACGGAACACTGGTTAAGGCAACCAACAAATGGGTCTGCTGCATGACGGATGCGCTGCGACAGTATCATAGTGGCTAGCAGTACGCAGACTACATTGAAAACTCTCATGTCGAGTACACACTTGCAAATGAAGACAAGAGATACGCACATGAATCTGCAAACGCCGTTCTGTGTAAGATCCCCAAGTTTGCTATCGACACAGAGTAGATCGAAAGTCGAGTCAACGCTACGCTTGGGCTTGATGACGTCGAATCTGGCGATGGTTCCGAGACGCCTGTCATTCATTCTGCGATACGGCCTGATGTCGGCAAATGGCCGACAAGAAGCGGATGCTCAATGCTACTGTAGC